GCTCATGGTCATCCTGTTATCCACCAAAACTCCCAGGTCCCTCTCTGCAGAGCTACTCTCAAGCAGGTTGACCCCCGACCTGTACTGGTGTATGGGGTTATATCTCCCCAGGTTCAGGACCCTACACTTGTCCCTGTTAAACCTCATCTGGTTCCTCTCTGCCCAGCTCTCCAGACTGTCCAGGTCTCCCTGAATTGCAGCACAGCCTTCTGGTGTGTCAGCCACTCCTCCCAGTTTTGTATCATCAGCAAACTTGCTGAGGGTGCGCTCTGTCCTTTCACCCAGGTCATTGATGAATACGTTGAACATGGTACTGACCCCTGGGGAACACCGCTAGTCACAGGCCTCCAGCTGGATTCAGCACCCCTGATCACAACCCTCTGAGGTCTGTAAACTGTAAGTTGTAATGAGATTTTCCAGTCTCAAATGTCATTAGGCACATACGTACCATGTGGGAGGTGGTGTGTATTTTAAAAATACCTTTTAAAGAGTCAGCCTGGAGAATAGAATGCTCTGGGGAGACTTTAGAGCGGCCTTCCAGTACTTAAAGGGAGCCTACAGGAAAGTTGGGGAGGGACTCTCATCAGGGAGTGTAGTGATAGGACAAGGGGTAATGGTTGCAAACTGAGAGAGGGAAGATTTGGATTAGATATTAGGAAGAAGTTCTTCACTACAAGGGTGGTGAGACACTGGAACAGGTTGCCCAGAGAAGTTGTGGCTGGGCCCCCCCGGGGCCGACTCGGTGCAGTAGGTGAGCACACGAGGATGGCACTTGGTGTCCCTGCCCATGGCAGGGGGGTTGGAACTAGGTGATCTTTACGGTCCCTTCCAACCCAAACCACTCTATGATTCTGTGATTAATGAGCAGAGTTTCTCTCAGGAAGCAGTGGCAGTGGTTCTAGGAATTAATCTGTGTGCAGCTCTCGGGGTGGGTTTTTTTGCAATGTGTGCTAATTCACCTTACTCAGAGGTTGCTCCTTAGGAGTCAGTCTCCTGAGTGTTTTCTGGATCAGATTCTCCATATGATAACTTCCTGCAAATTCCACTTGAGCTCTGCGCGTCAGGCTGATTTCTCTCCGTTTTCATACTTTGTTACCAGCAGTTCAGGATTCAGCAAGCCAAATTTCTTCCCTGCTTGGAGGTGATGGGACCTCAGGAAGCAGCACCATATCGTGGACACAAAATGGGGAGGAAATTGCAGCTTGTGGCTCTGCAGAGACCGGGACTTGCTGGCAGACCTAGCAAGCATAAAGATCTGTCAAAGCTCCCTTCCTCACTGCAGGGACAGACAGTGACGGGGCACAAGGGCTCTGAGTAGGGCAATGCTGCAGCCAGGTCATGGGAGCTTACAGCCACGCTTCAGCTCACAAGGTGGTCTTGGCAGATAGATCCTTCAGAGGGGGGTTAAAAATGGGTCTGTCACTGCCTTGGCCTTCTGGGGAAATAGGTGTTCATGGCTGCGGGGGCACCTTGGCAAGTAGCACTGCAGTTGCAGCGGGAGAAGCTGACAGGGTACATTTTCTTGCAAGTAGGTATTATTACTGAGCCCAAGCTAAGAGCTCCTGCTAATGACGGGGTTCGTTAGCTCTCTTGCTGCTGCCCTGGCAGGGCTGGGGGCTACCGCGAGCCTGCGCTCACCCCAGGGCACACATGCAGTGAGTGTCGCCTTCCTGGCTGATGGAGATGGTGCTCCCTGATGGAGCTGGTGTCCCTGAGCAGCATTGCTCAGCACAAAACTCTAGTGTCAGCATAGTCACACAAGTAAAAATGTCTTACTGGTCTCAGTGGGAGCAGAATAAGATGTCCAGGTAAAAATGTAATTTTGCTTGTAAATAGTTAGTCCGTAATAGAAGTGCCTTATCAACATAGCATTGATTACTAGTGCTAGCATAGTTTACTACTATTATAATACCATGCTAGTCATTATACTCTAGTTATAAATTTGCCCTTTTCTTAAAGACTTTAAATGGTGCAAAATAACAACCACTAGAAAGCTGTTACAGCAGCTAATCATCCTCACCATTTAAACCTCCTTGTTATTTGAACATTCTCATTCCTTAGTCTTCTCTCAGGTAAGCCCCTGGAGATTCTTGACGAACAAGGTGAGAAATGTTGTGCTGTCCTGCAGTCTGCCAGTAAGTAAAAAGGATCAGTCCCAGAGATATCAGTCAGGCATCTTTGATCAGCACAGTGTAATCTCTTAACAAACAGCTCAAGGAAGCATCAATGGCGTTTTCTTTCTAAGCCTCAGATGCCCATTGCCCCAAGTTTATTCAGAAATCAGGTGGCAAAAGCGTTAGAGGGTATGAAATTTCTGGCCTCCTGCAGCTTTCCCAGCCCTGATGGATCCCACTCCAAGCACATTTGACCCCTACTTACCTTCAGTAGGCTTCAGTCCAGGTGCCAGGATGATTCAAATTTGGTCTTTATAGCTCCAGAGTTTTCTTGTCATTGTTTGACAGAAGGCATCCCTGCCTACAAAATTTCATATCTTTTAAATTAAGGGTTTTGGAGGGGCTGAAATGTAGGAAAGGGAAATTTTACCTTGGTTGTAGTTTGGGTAAAGCAGCTGAAACAGCTTTTTGGAGTGGCAGTTTCACTAGGACATTTTAAACCAAAGTCCATACTGTGGATTTGCAAAACTGCAGTGTTTTCAAGTAGCATCAACATTTGCTATAACAGACTGATTAAAGATACCCGTCTCTGATTTTCTCCTTACACTTTTAATTGCACAGTACTTTTAACAGGATTTTGTACACAAACTCTTTAGTGATACAACTCATTATCCTTTTTCCCCCCCTTACCTTTAGAAGAGAGCAGAAGGGAAAATTTAGGAAAATAATGACCTATTTTATTATGTAACCACAGGAACTGGGAGGAGGGAAGGAAGACGACTCTAGATTAAGGGTTGATTGCTGAAATTATTCTAACTACTTTTTAATTGGCAAGCTGTTGAGTTGTTATCATCAATGAAGAGTGCATCAACAAGCAGTATCTAAAGCAGTAAACATTTCAATTGAGAAATGGAGCACACAAGCTCTGTAGTCATCATTGATGCAGTGAAGAGTTAAGACTAAGTGACTGGATCACAAGAATACATCGTACAAGGAATATCAAGGGTGGGGTTTGGAGTTAATAGTCTTTGTTGTCTTCTGTTTTTTTCTCTGAAGACGTTATGGAGGCAGGGCAGGAGACGTCTGCACAGCCGCCAGCTACCCTGCTTTGGGGCTGTGCAGAGTGAGGTACTGATTTCTGTCTGAAGACCTTTTCCATACAGATGCAAGACGTACAGGTGAATCTCCAGGGCTTGCTTTGCTGTCAGTCCCTCTTAATGGATTCTGAGAGTCCTGTGCAGTTTATAGACCTCTCACCTAATAGTGGGCACCTCTGTCGCAGACCACATGTAAGGCATCTCTGCATTCCATTGATGCTGATTTATACTGTTTAAAGGGATGGGGGTGGAACAAGTTATTAAAAGATTAAGAAATTGAAAGCTCCCCTAACTGCTGTATTATCCACCTGACATTCTCCAAATGCTAGTCATTAATTAATAATGCCTTGAAAATCAGAGCAGTTACCCGATTCAAATTGTGTTACATCTCTGAGCCAGAGCATTTCTATTATCTTATCATTTCCCATTCAAATAATTCTTCCTTCTCTGCAGTTGTTAAAGGCTCAGACCCCGCTCTGTTTCCTCTCATTTGAACATGCTGTCCACGCAAGGAAGCGTTTCCACTCCTATCTTCACGTTGGTGAAAATCGGTGTGGGTCCACCAGCTCCCCTCAGAACTACATGTGAACATCTGATGGCAGAATGTGGCCAACATAATCTTCTTTTACAGTTAGTGATCGAGTGCTCGGGGAAGGATTGAACCTGGTTTAGGGCTTAGGCTGCCTTTGCAGTCCTTGCATCTGCAGACCTCCCTGTGGACTGGGCAGGAGAGTTCACAGTCACAGTCACACAAAGCCCCAGAGCCAAGCTTTCAACCGAAGTAATTCCCTTTAGACACCAGTGATAACTTGGCCCCATGGTGGCAAGGCAAGATATGTTTCTGGAGTCACCAATAATGCTGGTCCTAGGTGAGCTATGTATTCAGAAATGATGGGGTTTATTTCCTGGCATGTTTGTTCTTCGCTTATGTATATTTTCATGCCTGCCAGCACTCTGAAATCTAGATATCGAGTGTTGGGGGCAGGCTAGATGTAATTTTTCATGCTGCTGACATTAATTGGATGAACAGACCTTCTCAGAAGGGGCAGTGTAGGAAATGTGTATGGAAGAATGACAAAATAAGGAGTTTCACAGCTAAATAAAGACAAGTGGCTGAAAATGGTTTTTACAGCTTTGGCTTTCATATGTTTCATTTGGGAATCTAAAACCATTTTGCACAACTAACAAATTAAGATTCACAACACCTTTCTGAAGAAGATAATTGCCCCTGTCTTACAGATGGAGGAACAGAGATATTGAGGCTATCATTTGAAAATATGTCCCCTGTTTTCAAGTCCCCAGATTGAGATACATTTAAACCTAATTCTCAGAAGCAGAGAATTTATATTCATTCATTTGGCATTGTTTGTGCTTAGCGTCTCTGAAAATCACATGCGTTGCATCCTAGCTTGAATGGTCAAAATAACCGAGGTGATGTGGCAAAGATCACAGAGCAACTGCAAGGCCAGACTGGGACTGTGGTCTGTGTCCCCTCATGCCACATCCCCTTTTTACTCACTGAGTATCTGCCTTGAATTCCTGGACAAATGGAAAAAAGCACATTCTGCTCACTCAGTTTTCCTCTGCTGTCTCAAAAAATTGGACGTTATAGTAATGATACTGTTGGGGTTATTGATCGACTCCATAGAGTCATTTTACCTTGTCCTTTTAATCGTCAAGAAATTGTCTTCAGGTTTTTCTCATTAAGTTTCTTATTGTAGAACTAGCATGGAAATGTAGTGAGAATCATTTCTATCACTGGTTTTCCCTGTTGTTCTGTTTTTTTCAGCATACAACAGTTTTGCCCTTTGTATTAATCGAGATGAGAACAACACATCATCAGTATCCCAGCAGGAGCTGTGGACTGGCTGCAGTGTGCACCTTCGCTGTTGGCTATATTGTATGGTAAGGGCTGTACATGCTGTATTTTCATATTGTATTGGGGGTTTTGTACTGCTAAATTTGGGCACATATTTCATTATGGATATAATCGCTAACAGATTCATGCTGCATGCCTCGTTTGGTCCAAGACCTGGGCTTTGTCTGGTTTCCCCAGATGCTTATATTTTTAGAAAGTATATGCCAAACCTCACACAACAGGAATTTGTTGAACAATCCCATGTAAGCAGTGGTCTTTCCAAGGGTACATTTTTCAACCTTTTTTCAGGCTAAATGTTTTTCTTGGACTTTAGTTTTATTGCTTAGGGTTTTTGTTCTATCAAATAAAATTGAGAATAGGCAAATGATTTCCTGCATCAGTATTTAAGCGGCAACAGAAAAGATAGAACACTGTCTTTTAACTTTACTAGTTCATAAATTCTTTCTGTAAAATTGATTACAGAATAAGCCAGTAATCCAAACACTCTGAAGTTTGTTTTAGAAAACGCAAATGTTTGTGAAAAATCAAACTAAACCAGAAATAACCTTTCTTACACAACATTAAACTAAGTCTTTGGGCAGTTTTTATTCTAGGACCTGACTCACATGATAGAGTTAATTTACTTTGGTCATTCTAGCATTTTATTTTTCACTAAACCTTTGTTTTATTTACAGTGCTCCTTTGATACCATATATCCTTTATCCTTTCTGCAAACATTTCATGGCCTCTTATTCTCATATTCTTTCTTCTCACCTCACAACACCCTGCCTTCAAGTAAGAGGATATTTCAAAATTGTGGATAATACTGCTTTTTCCACCAGTCAAGTGAGATAAAACTAATGAGAGAGGAACACAGGCTTAAGGCAGTACTGTCATACTGCTTCAACTATGCAACTTGCCCCTCCGGTCCAATGAAAGGGAGGCCATTATTCATCCACATCTATGCACACTGAGTGATCATAAAATGCTAGTAATCCAGCTGAAGTGGGATGTTGTGTCCCAGGACAACAGTCTCATTCTTCCGTTTGCTTTTATAAACATACATATCTTTCTTAAAAAAGAATAATATTTGTAATTGTAAGATAAGGACAGCCTCGTGCAAAAAGGCACGTAGTGATTCCTTCAGGAGAAATTGATTTTTTTCAACCCATATATAATAGCGCATAACTGGTATTTCTCAGCCTTCCTCTGAAGTGTGCCTAGCGACAGATTGGCAGAGTTACTGTACCTGTGATCTGACCTCCTATGGCAACTCCTGTTTTCTCAGACACATGCAGTAGTATTCAATAGGGATAGAAAACTGAAACAATGCAGTTCTGCAAGTGAAATAAAACCAGAGATGTCTTAAAATCTTTTGAGAAGCTGTTACAGTATCAATGTGACACTCATATGGCTTGATCACTGCAATACATCCGCATGCTGCAGCTACAAGTACAAGGTAAAAGGAAATTGTAGGACATGTAAAGCATGGGAAGAAGATTCTGCATTAAGAAATTAACTACTAAGCAGATACCCAGTTACAACCTATAATCATCTCCCTTCGCTTTCGCTGTTTATTGGTTTTGCCTACACATACATTGTTTCTGAAACGGGTAGGGCTACTATCAAGTGACTCACCTTCTTCCAAGTTGTGATTTCTGTAAAGATGGTCTGAGGCAATTGTTTATTCAGCCTAAAGGTCATCCTGCGAAATTCTGCACTTACAGCCTGTTTCTCCTTCTGCTCTTATGAAAGAAGGTCCTTGGGGAAGACTGGAGGCAGACACAAGCTGTGCCATCATCTGCAAGTTCTGCATGTCTTCAGCCTGCAAGTGTTACTGAATCCTCTATCCAAGATTTGGTTGAGGCTGCAAGCCAAACCTTGGCTTGGTGATATCAATACAATGTATCTCACCTTCACAGGTTGGGAAAATTTACCAGAAAGTATGAAAAGTGAGGGTTTTTTCATCCCTCTCACTCAGAATGTGTGTACCTTTCACAGCTGAGGTCCACTGCCTTCCTGCTGCTAAGTGACCATATTGACGTAGAGACCCTAATCACTTAGAGGGTTTGGAATTACTTAATTTGGATATGCTGCCCTTGTTGGTGTACCATTTAGACCCCTCAAGGTTAGCACAGTGCATTAAAATGAGACCACACCTGCAAAGGACCTAGTTACGTACAGCCTGGTGGAACTTCCTTCCTCTGGTTGTCCGTGGGTCCCCTGCTGGGGCTTAGTTCTTGGTTGATTTTTTTTTTACCTAGAAGTTTGGTGTCTGCTGCTTGAGAATTTGTTCTTTGTTCTTTAGGCCGAATATGTCATTTTTCGCTCAGCAGAGGTGTTTTCACAGCAACTGTCTCAGTATAAAGTGGAGCCAGTTTCTAATCAGATGTTCTCTATGTTTTGCTGATGAATTTTGAACTCTCTCCCCACCTCAGCTGAACCTTTCTTACCGTGTTATGTATCACGTTGCACTTTGTACTGTAAAGGAGAATTCAGGAGGATATTGTTTAGGTTTGATTCTGTTAATGCATTTTTTTCAACTCCAAGTAGAGGAGAGCTTCTGTTTTATTTCATATGTGACTGAATCTTTCACCTATGAAAGAGATGGAGGAGTAGCAAGCTTTTATTATATACATTTGATAAATGAGAAAACAGGCAAACAATTCTGAATAGAATCACTGAAGTTGGAAGAACATAGCTAAATAACTTGATATTCCCTGAGCATTATACAGAGACATGTTATCTGAGTAACATAAAACTGTTTTCTATTTTTCTTTCTTTTTTTTTGCATTCTCTCCCTTCAGTCAGAGAGCATTTGAGTAGGCACGCTTAGCTCATGTGCTCTCTGTGAGGGGGAGCTTTCCCTTGCTCTTAAGGAACCGTGCCCAGGCAGAGCATTCACAGACTTGCATTGCCTGTTGCAGACCATACATGGACTTTCAGGATCAAGGCCATGGGATAAGACGGGAAAGGCCGATTGGCTTTATTTAGCATGGCTTGAAAAGGTCACAATTTGTATTGAATTGTTAAATCTAGACAGTGCTAAGAAAACCCGAGAGCTTGCCAGTACTACCAGAAAATACTGCCAATGGGTGTATGGAGTTGGTTGTCAAGGAACAGAAAAGAGCCAGAAATGTGTTGCTCCTTGTAATACGAATGACCTCATGGTAACTAATGTCAGAGCCTAATATGTCCCTAAAATAAACTGAGACAAATAAGTTTATTTAAAATGGTTTTCTTATTCCCTCTGCTTTTGAGTGCTGGAGGATGCCAAAAAACCAGACCCTAAGAACCTGACTCCACTGCTCTAGTCATGCTGGGCTATGTGTTGGAGAGCAAAGACTTGATCTGCTCTCTTGTTGCTGTCTCAAATCCACGAGGAGCTGCCTCCATATGTGCCAAGGTTGGACTTGACTTGGTCTTTCATTCTTTGATAAATCTATTTAAAGAGCTCAGGTACCTTTAAACTTTCATTTGAAAATTAAGTTTCTCTTGAAGTGACTTTAGGAGAGTTCTGTAGATTTGCCAAGGGGAGCATTTAGATGGAGTAATTTGCTGAATTCTTCTTGAACAAATTTAAGAAAGGAATGTACACTAAGAATTTGGAATAAATTTGAGATCAACGCTGTCGGCCTTGCTGTAGGATTTCCACTAGCAATTCTCCATAGAAGGAGAAGAAGAACAGAAGGAGCAGATGTTGGCAAAGGGTTAAAGGTGCGGACTGCTAGGACAATCCTTGACATTCAGAAGAGAGGGGTGGAGAGTTAGAGCATGAAGCTTGGTGGGAATTGACAGCCATATCAGTAAAGAAGGGCAGGATTGAGAAACCAGGATTTCTGAGGTTGCTGGTGCCAATGGAGCAGGCTGTGCTAGGGTGTGCTGAGGGTCTGTGTGTAGGGAGGGGGTCATGAATGCTTTTGGAAGTGAGCACTGGGGACAGAAGTTCAATAGAGATCAGAGGAATTGGTGGTTGGGGAAAAAACAAGTGAAAAGTCCTTGAGGCGAGTAAAAGAGATGAACTAGAACCATGGCTTAAAAGAGAAACGGGTAAGGAATTGCGCAGCCTGAAAGCTGAAATCATGCAAGTAAGTGGGAAAAGCTGGGAGGGGGAGAGAGAGACAGGCTTTGAAATCAGAATGGAAGGTTGATGGAGAGGTGGGTGATAGATGAGACAATGCAGAGGAGGAGAAAAGAGTTGGAGCCAGAGCTACTTGGAACAGGAAAGAGTAGGAAGAAGTAGAAGCAGCAGAAATAGGCCAGGAGAAGATTAGCGTCCCCTGTACCTGACCCAGAAGGAGAGTGGGAGAGCAGAAGTGCTTTCAGCAAGAGAAGGCTGCATGGATCCTCAGCCTGTTAGGTCTGACATAGCCATTACGGACTGTTACATTCTGGCTCCCCTCCTCCTCCACATCCTCAAACGTTTCAGTCAAAGCAACAGTACAATCACAGATGACATGCATGGATAATACATTCTCACTTGCTTGTGCAACTCCCTAAAATATAGCTCAAGAAGGCATAGCAACCATTACTATATTTAAAATGAAATATTATTTATCAAAATAGATTACTTCCAAAGATGATGACACCTTGCAGTGAATCTGCAGAGTTTCTGTCATTCTATCTACCTGTACATAAACACAAATTTCTGCTTTGTTCATCCCAGAGGATGCCAGCACCATGTCATGCTGAGTATGTTTTGCATGTGACATTATTTGCAGCTGCAATTTTCAAGGACTTGTCTTCTTCTAACCATATAAGCCACTCCATATCAGTAGCACAGTCCTATGACCCATGTATTGTTCAGCACCACTCAGATCAATGGAGAAGAATCCGGCATAAGAAACTAGAACAGGACAGGATGATTGCTGTTATTTCCTAACTGATGACTGTTTGTTGAACTTATTTTTTAGTTTTAAAATTTCTAAACAGTGTACATTCCTGGTGTAGGTGACTTAGGCCTGGCTGGCTGCTATTAAAGAAGCCCAGCATCTTAATGTAGCTGAGATTTTAACAATTCTGATTAGATGCAGAACACGCTGTCTTACAGGTTGGGCGGGGGGAGGGGGGGGATCATAAGGATTTATGAAAACATGCCTCTCATCAGTTGGTATTAGAAACCGTAAGTAGAACAGATTTAGTGTGGGTCATTGAGCTCCAGCCTCTGAAAGCACAGGGTTGGTCCCTACTCTATAACCACAAATGATTTGTTCGTTCAAGTTTTGAATGACTCAGCTGCTGTAAGCCTGTCACCTCCTTTGGGAGACATTCCACAATTTAATAGTTCTGGGTAAAGTTCTTGCTTTCTGTGGAAAAGTAGGAGTGTGATGGTAGAAAAGATAATGAGATAAAAGCATAGAAAATGCCCATGTTATGTTGTTTGGTGAAGAGTAGCCACAATGGGAACTGACATAGGATTTGTTTGGGACCAAAGATTCAGCCTTCTTTTCTATCAGTCACTGGAAACCTGAACAGCGCAGAAGATGTGGGAAAGGATTTGCTGCTGCAAGAAGTAACCAGAAAGGAACTGCCATATTAGATCAGAGTAGTCACGTATGCAGGCTTTAGCCATAGCTGATGTCAGATGCTTCGGGAGACGATCTAGCAGGCTGTTTTAGAATAACCAGCCTGTAAGGGAAGTTTTCTTCCAAAACCTATGTCAAAAAGTAGATGCTTGGGTCCTTCAGCCTTGATGGTTTATATACCTTGTACTCTTTGAACTTAAGCATAACCACACATTCTTACTGCTTGTACAGTCTCCTGACTTCAGAAGCTTGCTAGAGTTGCACACTATGGCCCAGAGAAGAGGAATGGGCTAAGTAGACTTCCAAACTTGTATACTTCAAAACTTTTTTGAATATCTTTATTTCAGTGATGTATCACTGAAAGATAGGGTAGAGCATTCCAGAGCTTAATTGGGTGTCATGCAGAAAGGTATTTCCATTATCAGATTTGAATTTCTTGTGTCTGAGTTCTGTTGAAATGCTTCAGCCATTTTATGACACGTGTTATTATTCTGTGTCCTCTCATTCACTGCTTTTGAAAAGTTGCACAGCCCCTCATCTAGTAGTTCCTGTTTCCGGAACACATAGTACTGATTGTTGTTTGGCTGCAGATTTCACTGAAGGACTCGGCTTGGGCAGGAAATGGGTGGAGACTCTCAGAGTTCAGACCACAATGTGCCACCAAGCTGTGATACCTGTGCAAGTGCATTCAGACTCCTGTAGCTGAAAGCAGTGATCATGAAGGAGCAGCTGTTTTCTGCAACTTGTCTCCCATTGCAAAATCTTTTGGGTGTCATGGTTATCTGACATTATATCCGCGTGTTGAGCTTGCTTCTACCAGGACTAAGTTTTACACATGCCGTTGTAACAGCTGCATTACTCAAGGCAACAAGTAGAACACACATAAAACACAAGGTTCTGACAATTTTTTGTAGTCACTTTTTCTCATTAACAAAAGATCTATAGCCGAAAAATAAATGTAGATGTATTTTCTCGGCATAGTTTTAATTTCCTCCTGATTACTTTGCTAGGAAAGGTATGCAACATCTACTGTATGCTAGAAGTGAAAAACAACAACAAAGTCAAATGCTTTAAAAAGAAGCAGCATCGTGTGTTTGCAAATAGCTTTTTCTGATTTCTGCACCAACTGGTTGAAAATTTCTGAAAATCACCATGTTTTTTAACAAACATTTTGATTTGAATACAATGTGTGCGTATTTCCATTCCTTCTATTCTTACTAGTTCTAACAAATGGCTAAATGAGCTTAATGACCTGTAACATACTCACCTTTGAAAACACACGGTTATGTCTACATGGACTGCCACGGAACCAAAATGCAGGGAGGTTCAATTTAATTTTATCTTTTCAAAAGTAGCCAGTCCAGTTTTAGCTTGAACTTTTTCTCCTCTGTTTATTTTTATCTAAACGACCCATTTTTTATACCTGTTCAATAACAGTCTTAAATTGGATCTAGATTTGCACTCCTAAGTAAATCTTAATGCATGCTCCCCTGTGCTTATCTAATAATGAGGTTGGACAGGAATAATGACTACTAGAACTGCAACATTGAAGGCATTCATTAACATTAGTAATCAGCAATCTTGTGTGGAAGCTTTATGCCTACGGTTGATCAGCCCTTTATTGTGTGGTGTCGAGGTAGCTTGTATTCAAGCAGGAAGGAACCCACTAAGAAAGGCCATCAGGTGAGGTTTCCATGGCAGCAGTCATCACTTTGCTGCTCCCATTTGTGGTATAGACAATGCAGGAATAGTCCATGTGTTACTGCTCAGTGGAGAGAAGGCTCATACTACTCCATCCCAATGTAGTGAGCGGCATGGTACAGCTCATTTTAAGGAAGATCAGGGCCTCTGATCAGGTGGGTTTGTGACCGTTGTCTCCCGAGTGGCGCTCAGTACCCCTTGTGCTCAAAGCAAGAGTTCCTTTGGCGTGGCTGCAGTGGGGACAGGCGTACAACAGCTACGCTGAACGCACGAGCAGTATCACCAAGCAGTGAATGGGCTCCTGTGCTGGGCAGCAGAGAGCAACGTGCATGAGCTGTACTCAAAAACTCTGAACTAACCAGAGATCGCTGACATTCGGGAGCTCATCAGTGACTTGTTGGCTGGATTTAGGAAATACTTCCTCTTTCCAGCATAAATGTGTTCTAGTAAATGCCATTTCTACTTGGTTCATGAAGTTGGCTACATAGGTGCTGTTTAGAAGGTCCCTTGAAAAGTCCCTCTCTAAAGGTGCTTTGCAGTGCTGGGCAGTTTCATTACAGGAAAAAAAAAAAAACAAAAACAGAGAAAACAAATGAAAAAGAAGCACTGGACTTTTTTCAAGCTTTTTTCTTGGGGTTTGTTTTTCACAGAATGATCATAAAACGAAAGCAAATGAATCTTAAAAACATAGGCAATAATAGACACTCCCTGCTAAGCCAACCTGGGAGCAGAGGACATCCCATTACCTTCCACCCAAGTGTCCCATCTTTTTCTTTAATCAAGAGAAACATGGTATTCCCTGTTACCATGGGTTACACAGGAGCCCTTTATTTTTTCACAGGTCCTTTCATCTTGTCAGGTTAATTCTGGCACAGAAGAATGTTGTGGAAAATAACTGTGAAGTACAGAGATCATTTTCCATATGTGAACTCATTTGGAGAAAGGGGTTTTAATCTGCATTTAGATGGTGCAGATTAATTTACTGACACATGTAAATTCCTACATGAAGTGTCCAACTATTAAGGGTTTGGCTGTAATAAAAGCTTTTCTAAGGAGGAGGGAAGCAGTGACAACCATGTACATTTCCAGGGTAATGGAGAATCATTAAACAGGGATTCTGTACTCTCTGTGTGACAGGCATTTATGGTAACAGCTTTGGGTGGACTTCTGTGTCTCTGCCCTTCAGGAGGCTTTAACTGTTGATCTAGTGATCAAAAGTCCTCCTTAAACAAATGGAAGTATGAGCAAGTGAAGCAAATCATATGGACGTGGAAATCCCCATCAGTAATAGTCTGTGCAGCTGCTGAGTCTTCTCTAGCTATGCTTCACTGTGAGCTTCTCTCAAATTGCTGGGTCAGAAAGGGAGAGATTTACATTCTTGAAGAGCGCCCAGCAGCTCACAGGCCCCAGCCCGTCTCACTGAGCACTTTTCCCAGTTAGCCTCTGTGATATTTGCTCAGTTGTTTGGCAGCATTTGCCTTTCTTAGCTTCCACCTACTAGGACGTATAGGCTCACTCTGCTCACTCTGACTTCACTCACCACGTGAGATCAGAGCGCAAAAGCTATCCCTTCAGAGGGTACAGGTGTCCACTGCAGTCACACACAGCAAAACCACGTACCTGGAGTGCTTGAGTCTCACTGCAGTGAAGCTGACACTGTCTCTTGGGTTAGTGTTCCAACAATCTCTACTGTAGCTGAATGCTAAAAATCTCTGTTGCCAGCAAACCACCATCATTCCTTTTCCTTTACTTATTGAGTGTGGAGCTGGGCAAAATTTCACTGATGTGGTGGTTTCTTTTTTTTTTTTTAATGTTTATCCTACCTAGAGAAAAATTACTAGATCCCAAATGATACCAGGTAACTGAAAGAAGAGGTGGAGCAACCTAAAAGACAGGTGCTGAAGAGCTTATTCTTTCAAAGAGAAGCTGAAAGATATGTTTCTGGCAAACCCAAAAAGTGACGCACGTGCCAGGTGTAGTGAAGAGAAGCAGCAGAAACACACAAACGTACAAAAATGAAAGAAGGATGCTGCAGAAGGCAGAGAGAGTTGGGCTGTGTAGGAGAGCCTGGAGAACCCTGAATGCTTTTTGGATAAAGAACCCCCTGAAGCAGGGGGTGCTGCAGATTCCACACTGCCGCATGAAACAAGGGTGTGTATTCCTTGTAAACAGAAATGCAGCAAGGAAATACCTGCCTACATCAGAACATGAAAATTGGCCAACTGCTCGTATTAAATTTAAAACAAAGCGGTAAGAATGTGGGAAATCGGTCATAGTTTCATTATTTGTGATGTCTGTTCTGGGTGGATGTCATCTGCTGCTCCAGTTCAGTTGCAACTTGCAGTCCTTTCAAATAATTATTTTTCAGGTTACTGTAGCTAAGCCTATAGCCCAAACTACTTTTGAAAAACAGGGCTGTAAGAGTCAGTACTTGTTATTTTTGTTTTGTTTCAGGGTGTGCTGGATTCACCACGTTACAGGAGTGTGGGTGTACCCGCTTCTTGAGCACCTCAGCCCAGGTGTCAAAATAATCTTTTTTGCAGCTGTTACCGTATTAATTAACATATTCTACTTGGTGGGAGAGGTCCTGAACAACTACATCTGGGATACCCAAAAATGTGAGTATTGTTTTAGGACTATTAAGTCATGAAATACACCACTGGGACTTGAGTATGCTCCCCTGAAATTCAATAGGGTTTTAAGATGGCTAAAACAAAGGAGAATGACAGAAGTTCCACTGAAACATCTTGCTTGCTTGCTCTTAAAAGCAGCTGATGAACGGAATGGCTGCTGGAGAGCATGATGAGCTATGAATATGTATTTTTTAAATAACTTCCAATACTAATTTAAGAGCTGTTGGCAATTACCTGAGAGGTTTACAACCCACTTGGTTTGCAACCCACTTATTAGCTGATGAACCCATTAAATGGAGCTAGAATGAAGTATCATTCTGTGGGAATGCTGTTAATGGTAAGCTTAGACTTAGAAATAAAAATACGTGCTTTTAGTATTTTCAGGTATAAGGTGTTTTCCGCTTATAAATTTACTCAAGGAAAATGAAGATGTTATGTCAGTAAAATAATAGGAATGAAAGATCACCTTAGTACAGGGTAAACATAACTGTGCAGACTCTACATCAGCTACCCTGCCTAGGCAACCCATTGCTGAGTAGAGAAAAAGGGAAAATAAGACAAACCCAAGATTAAAAATAGGTTCCTTCAATCAATGAAAGACGTTTTTCATTTATCAAATTGCCAGAAATAAGCAAACAACATTCATAATCACCGCAGTAGCAAATCGCAACTGGAGTGAAATCCACGCTCCGTGGGAATTCTGTCATTACATTCATTGGGCCCTTAACACGTTGGGACCATACGAACAGCCTGTGTCCCCTTTTGGGAAATTCATTGTGCACTGGTTAATACATGTTGAATTCATATGGTAGTCACACAAATGCTTTTTAACAAGTCCTCCAGTACAAGGTAGAACCTAATGCCAGAAGCTCCGAACAGTTTTACTTGCCATTTGCTCACATTAGCACCCAGGCTTAAAGTGTCTTTTTGCTCTAGAACCAGAGATCATTTGTCACAGTGTTCAAGTCTAGTTTTCAGTCCTCAGTTTGATGTCACATTCACATCTGTTCAACTTACTTAAGTTAATTCAGGAAAGAAGTTTCTAAAAAAGGCAGGAATTTCACTTGACCTAAGTCCTGTGTGAAGAATAACAATGTGGTGAAGAATCACCTGTTCTTACCAAGTCATGAATAAGTAAATGGTGGAAAATATCCCTCACTATTCCACAGTGTGTATAACAAAATCCTTGGTTCCCTCCACCCTAGAGGAGCTAAGATCAATTGGGTCATTGTTCCAACCTCTTCCAAGGTTCACCATGGCCTTATTATCCTTTCCATCATTTCCTTGATTTGGTTAAAGAATAGTGATCCAAAGTCCGTTGTGGTTTAAGCACTTGCAAACCAGAAAATGCTATGAGTCACCTGCTGGTTTGCTGTGCTTGAAACACTCCACATAAACCTAACCTGAAGCGTATGGCAGGCACACCACAAACAGTAGAGATGTAAAATAATGCCAGTCTGTCACCATACGAGACTTGGGAAGATACTGTTTGAAAACGGTACATTTTAAAGGGGCTTTTGAGCAGTAAGCTTGCAAGTCAAAGCAGTCTGCCAGGAGGAGATTTCTGGGGTGAGAGGGGGTTGGTTTGGGTTTGGAGTTTGTTCCTTTTCCTCTGGAGATGCATTAAATAAAACCTCACTACTGACAAAATGATTTGCAGTTAGTTTTTCCAAGTTAGACCACAAACATGGTAGGCAAGGAAAAATTTGCCCTTTGTACAAGCCAGTGTCTGTCCACAGCTTTAAGGGTATCTGCGTTCCTGCCGAACTATTTGGTGCATCTGCAGCAGCGTACTTCAGAAGAAAGGAAAGAGGCTCTTTTAAAAAGGCAAATAAAACAGCTCATTTAAACCTATTGGGAAGTTCTTTCCAGCAGAAAGCAGAAGACTCAAGACTGGCTCTGGAGCAGCCTGGTAAACCCACTGTAATCTTTTGGACCTGGCCTCTTGTTTTGGTTGTTAAACCTTCAACTGTGGCTCTTCCATTACATTGGTTTGCCAGCAACACCCAGGGCCATTGTACTTGGGCTGCTGGCAGTGCGCAGACCCATTTGTTTCTGTGTTTCTTCTTTCAGCAGGGCAGCTCTGCAGTCGTGCTTTCTAACTGCAGATGGGTCTTATTGTTTCCGGTATTGGAATTAATTCTGGTTTTAAAGTGCCTTTCGGTGTACCTGCTGTCTATGCGAATATTGCATTAGCAGGTGATCTTACTTGTGACTGGATTCTCAAACATTGCTTGTCTTTTGCCTTCAGTCCTCGGGAGTCTTTCTTTTGCAGCATGCAGCAGGCCTGAAAAGCTCCAAAAGAAATATTTGTATTTGAGATGTCTGGCAGAGAGGGCTTAGTCAGAAGAACAATACTTTTGTCAGATACCAATAGTAATTCATTGTCCAGGAACAGGCATATGAAATAGCTGAATGTTTTCATTGCCAGAAAAAACACAATCTGCTGCCCAGCCCAGACTTTGCTCAGCATAGAAAGGAGACAAGCCCTGCAGCAAAGATAAGTTCTTTAAGTAGCCCTACACTCAACTCTCCTGATATTACTGAAAGACATATCCATTACAAGAAAAGAGAGGCACCTTGTCAACAGTAATTGATTCTTCTTTTCTGTACTCTCAAAAAAGGGAGATGTACTTGCAAATATTTAAAAATCCAATGTTGAAGTGGAGGGGTGCGTAAAGTTACTGAACTCTGAAACACAATTTTAAAAACTTGCTTTCAAATAAAGTCGGCTACTTAGCTTCAGCTATAATAACATCTACTTTAATTTGCTTGTAGGTAAGCAGAGGAGGTGAGGGAACTAACTGTTCCCAGACCCCTGTAGCCATCAAAGGCTGAGCGTGCTGCAGGAGGTTAGGCTGGTTTGAAAACGGACTGGTCCGGAGGGAGGGAGGATTGTGCAGTTCATTACTGGACAACCACTGCCATCAGGTGTGCAGATGCTCTTTTCGTTCACAGCAGGTGAGATAGCACATGCAAGAGCATGTGAGCAAGTAGGGGAGAAACAACAGCAATAAAGGGAAAAGAAATATTAATGCATTAGAAAAACCTCTTTAGGTAAACTCTTCATTTTTATTCATTGAGAGATTTTTTAAAAGCTGTTCTCTGTATGTTTTCAGGTATTGAAGAAGGAAAACAAAAGCCAAAATTGGACTGAACAATAGAGGCAACATGGAGGATTGTTTATGGCTCCATGGAAGATTTCTCATCCCCAACTGGGGCTGGCATGGAGAGGAATCTTTTGGAAAGGAGGAAGTTTATTGGGCCCTCTGCTCAGTGCGAGGATATTTTTGATTTTTATATGGAGGGAAAATGATTTTAGCTAAAGCATAATGATAAATGTTTCAACCTCCGTTACTATTTCTCCATGCTTGCATGTGACATATGCATATAAGATGTATACTTATCTCCATGGCATTCTCAACGTGCATTTCTTGCATCAAGTCAGTCATTAAATCAGTAAGTCACTAAGTCTTTTCACTTCCACAAGAAAAACAATGAGTCCATTCTCTGTATGGTTTGAGAAAAGCTTAACCAGATAGGTCTAATATGGGGAAACAAAACAATCCTATATATTTCAAAGTACAGTGTAAAAAAAATACAGTAGAAGTTAATTGCATGAATGTATCCAAAGAAGAATTCAATCTGACTGAAATAGTAATGTAACACGATGTAACAGCTGCCTTAAATCAGTGATGTTAATAATTTTATTAGTCCAGTAAAATCTTACTTGCGGTGTTAGACTGTCTGAATATGATGCAACTTTTCTTAAATAGGTCTAAATAAAGATCAAATTATCCCTACGTTTCTGTTTCTTCGTGCTGATTCTTGAAATTCTAGATGAATTGATAGCATTTGAATGATATATTTTCAGGTGTTCCAGTGCCAACTGGAGATGATATTCTTCTACATGAGGATTTTTCTTATTATTTTCCTAGTACAAGACCTGGTCCTGCATTTTCAAGTTACAAGTTCTCAATAGGTGGACTGAGCCATTAGTGTTGTACCAGAGAAAGCATTTAAGCCTTACTTCAGGAAGGCACGTAAGCAAATGTTTAAAGTTAAACATACTCCTGTTTGTATTAGGAATTCAGTTGCAAAATACTAGCGATTGTTTAAACTTGGCAGGATTCTGTTTAATTATCAGACAATCAAGAAGGAACTCTAGTAGGCAGAAAAATTGTCTAGAATTAAAATTAAGTGAATGGAATAATTTTCAGCAAGAAATTATTTATAAAATGTAACTTTATTATTCAAATGTCTTGGTATTCACATCACGTATTTATTCATTAATGTGTTTATATTTATTTATTTTTACACATGCAGAGCACTTCAAAGATGTATGATGTTAATGTGTGATTTTTGTTAAAGAAACCTTAACCATGTTTCTGCACTGAAACATTTCTGGGGGAAACTGATCTCATGCAACTCATGGCATGCCTCCACAGTATTTTTTAAAACGTATTTATGTGCACACTATCATAGGAAACAGTGCAGAAATTTAACAATATACTTTTTGGTTGGTTTCCTTCAAAAATAAGGCTTCTGTGATGATACTGTTTCTGTGACTGTCTGTCTGTCCTCTCAATAATTTTTAACTTGTTGGTCAGAGTTGCAAAGATTTCAAAGCTAGGCAAGTTACTAGAAAGTTCATGGAAGTAAGTGGCCAGATAAAGAAGAAGGAACTCTTGTGGTGGTCCCACAGAGGGAGAGGGCAGGACACACAAACCCAGCAGAATTTGGAAGCAAATTAGCTGTAGCCATGTGGCCTCACATTAGGGATGTTATGTTCATCTGGACCTGAGCTAGGCACTGCGTATGTCCAGTAGTACTGCAACATGGTTACTTTATCCACAGATAACAAGGGCTTGATTGTTACAGTTGGTTGTTATTGGAGATGATAAGATGTCTGTTATTTGCAGCAGGCTTTCAGAACTCAGGAAGGAAAAAAACCCATGTATTCAGTCATGTTTAGTGAGCTAGGAACTGTTTAAAGTCACTGCTTCTGAAAGCTGTGGGAGCACATGAAAGTGCTAGAGGACAATGAATGTGGAAAAGGAATCTGGCTGTACTTCCCAACAGCAGCAGCAGCTGTGACAGACATCTCGTTGTGACAGATTATCAACTGCGGCTTAGGGTGGGAAGCCCAAAGCACAAACCCTGTTGACTTGTTTGTCATGTGAAGAACTTGCATAACTCATGCTCTGCTGTTAAAGTCTGGGACATTTTTGCAATTTTTTTATTTCACGGGGATTGTTTCCTTCACTGAATTCAAGAATTCATTCTGAGGGAAAGAATGTGTTAAATAAAAATAAGAAATTCCAAAATGACACACAGCTGTACGCATTCTGCTAGAGCACACTCTGAATGTCTCTGCTGTATTTATTGCACCGCTGAATGGCTGAGACCTCAAAAGCTGGCTGTTGATGGAAAGATTCCTCTTTCTCAGCAACTTTTGCACCTGCTCAAGAGAAGTTTTTCTTCTAATACCATGTCATTTTAGGTGATACTGGAAATGTAGTAAGAATAGAAAAAGAACAGAAACATCAGAGATCAGACTTGCACAGCTGAATCCAGAGGTAGGTGTCCAAGTGAAAGAAGACTCCCTTTCAGAGGTATGGCATAGGAACACTTAAAATTGTCATACCTCATATCTGTGAATTTGTGAATATTCAGCACCTCAAAAAAAGTAAGACTAGCAAGCTTTGATCTCAGTTAAGCCCCTGAGGTTGACAAAGGCAATATATGTGACACAAAATGTGGTGGGTTTCATTTGGTTTGAGGAAATTTATAGTGTTCCAAGAAGGTTTGAACTCAGTTTATCTTCTCAGATCTTAAAAAGTTCTCCACCTTCTATGAGCTTTGAATCATCATATGTAAAGTCAAAAACATTTTAGAGCGTTAAATCCAGCCTGTGATGTATGAACCTCGACATAAATTACTTAGGGGCCTGTGTAGCCAGAGAGCGCTCTTCTAGACTCTGTTCATTCCCTTTAGAATTACACAATCCATCATTCTTAAGAAGGATGATGGATGAATGATGACTAAAGTAAAAGTCACTTGTAAGCTTGCCAGATTTCAACCATGTTGGCTGAAATTGTCCCTGAAAGATATTTCTCTTGGGGGAACGATTTTTTTGGTGGAAAACTTTTTGTCAGAACAAGTCATCTATTTCCAAGTGCAAGTCTATGAAAAAAATCATGCCCGGAAAACTTTTCTCTACTTTTCTCTTGCTGTGGAACTGGGTCTTTGGAAGAACGATAGCATTTATGTTAGTAACACTTCTGAATTTATGGTGAAAATCTTATTCGTCGTTGTCCAGTTTTTTGAAAAAATATGCCTGCACTTCCCTGTAGTGCATAGGTAATTCTCCAAAGTGTTTATCAACCATGGGAATGATCCATCTTGTGGCTGAACAGGATTTTCCCTGCCGTCCCTGATCTGTCGACGTTCTCCAAGCCTGACTACCCAAGATACACACCAGAATGGGGACCTTGACTTTGGTTCCCGTGTATTGTCAATACCTCCCCAAAGCTGATGCAAATAAAGCTGCCTAGACCAAATACGAAGGAAGTAAAGCTTTGATGAAAACCTGAGCAATGAGAATAGGTTCTGGATAGACAAAGTGAAAAAACTCTATAGCTTTTCCCTTGAGGACTGCAGTAAAATTAAATTAGTCATGTTTGTTGAGTGTGTTATAGCTGTAACGATAAACCACATAGAAAACTCCGTGAAGGAATCATTAGTTTTGTTGTCAGAGGAGAATATAGCGTGCAGTAAATAAGGCAGGCTGCCACACCTTGAACGACAAGGAAAAAACAAAATACAGTTTCATCATTCAGTGAGCACCATCCATCATGTGTTATGAATGAGGCATAGGAAAAAATATTGTGTGATCATCTAATTAAAGGCAATATCATAATTCATAGTCACAAGGGGCCAAATTAAGGTTGAACAGACAGCCTTAATTCTGACATTACCTCACTCTTGAATGCCTGACTTCGCAATCTAATAATACTCTCTTGACTTAGTATAGAACACAAAAAAAGGTGGATTTTTTTTTTTTTAAGACTGGTTAGACAGTCTAGCCACAAGGTTGCCGTGAATCTCAGTACGACTGTATCCCCTATTTGGGTTCAGAAAGCTCTTCCTCACTTTCTGCATGCATTTAGCTACCCCAGACCAGATAAGCACAGTTCCCATACTGCTCCGTTACAAGAGGTTGCCATAATTTGCAAACTTTTGTCACAATTTCAAAATTAAATTATTTTAGTCTGTGGTTTAGCTTGTGTGTGATAAAACCATACTTTGCTGCCTCTCTGTAGCAACCATTGCCTTATTTTAAAGGAAAATGACAAATGTTTTCCCTAATTTTAAGTTGGTTCTTTGCTTCTCTGCCCACATGAGTAATGTTAGCTGAATTACCACAAGTGCACATCAAAGCCACTTATACACTGTGAGTAGACTGAAAAATGGCTAACCGTTCTACAGGCTCCCGTGTGGCAGTCTGTAATGACAGTGTGTAAGGCATACGCTTCTTCGATCATTTTTCCTATTGAATTTATTATTCAAAGAGTATTTCAAATTGTAATAACTTCTTCTTTGCCTTTTATTTTCTATAAAGTTTGGTCAGTCTGCAGGGCTCTGATACCTACTTTGGTAGCCTTTGAAGACTCAGATACCATTAGACTGAACACTGAAAGGATTTATAACTTAAAACTTGAGTTAAAGTGTAGTCCTGAAGAGGCCATCCACCTGAGGTGAGCATCGCTGAGGTAGGTTTGGTGTTCCTGAGCTGGGAGTAAAGGAGCAAGCAGTAGGAGATGTGTAGATGTGGTCGCCTCTGAATGCAGCCTTGGAGAAGTTATGCTACTAATCCTGTCTTTTAATGCTCCTGTATGTCATGTGAACAGGGGCAAATGTTGGTGACAGGTCTTTTCCACCTGCAGCAGCAAAAGAAAGCTCCTAATCAAAGCATAGTGCATACTGGTAGAAGAGGTCGTCTCCGCTAGGGTAACCCATCTGCTCTGCTCTGCTCCTGTGGTTCAAAGCTTCACATGCCACTGTAGGTATCCTCTTAAACTGGGGTCACAGGCGTTGCAGGGAAGAAACTTGGGAGGTTTATTATGTATTTGGGCCCTTATGTTTGGCCCAACACGTTCGTATGTATTGTAAAAGTTCAGGTGTCTCCAGTGTGTCTGACTGCAGTATTAAACCTGGGGTTTGGCTATTGCAGAAATCCCAGGAAAAAAAGCAGTTGCGGGTTAGACTGGTCAGCTTTCTACAGTGGCAATGATCTCTTCTTTTTGAAGCAGGAGGAGAAAAAGGGAAATGAAATTAGCCTGAAAAGCAGAAAGATCTGGCTGTTGACATCTGTTTTGAAAAGTACTTAGGCACATGCTTAACTCAAAGCACACACACAGGTGCTTTTTCGGCACAGGGGCTTTGCTGAGTGAGGGGCAAGTGGACTTGGAGGTGGGACGCTTTCTGTAGTGCTTCTAATGACATAATGAAATGAAAGAGCTTTTTGTGCTTAGAGTGAAAATAGGTCTTTTGAGCATAGTGGCTTACTCTTACTTGTATTATTAAGTAACTTTAAGAAAAGAACAGAACGGACCAATTTGCAGACCATAGACATCAAATGTATCTAATGTATATTCTCCAAAATAAGCAATTTTATTTTTATAAAAAATACACTATTTTGTTCAAGTAACAGGTGGAAATCAATGGATTTTAATGTAACCCAGAAGAGCAAGTT